AAAGATCACCGAGAAGTTCCCATTTTTGTCTTTTTTTTTCCCGATCACAGATTTGTTTGCGTTCCTGTTGCAATCCGAGACACGATTTACCCGACTTCTGTTGGCGCCACACTTTTACGAAGTGGCCAATGCTAAAAAGTAAGTCGACAACTCAAAATGAAGTAGGTACGGTAAATAAATTCATTCCTGGTTCATATAAGCATTTTTTCGCATGAGCGCAAAAAAAAAATAAATTGCAAGAAAAAAAAAACAATTCAACCCTGCTCATAGCGTGAGCTAATGCTAATGCGCTAATGTACGATGCAGCTCTGCTTACCCTTTGCTAACAACTAAAAATATTTCACAATCACGAGATTGACTGGACTGTATACCTTAACCCTTTCATGCACCCTGTAACCTGCTAACATGACAAGCTGTCCACTGTAGTAACCGCTGTGCCTGAAAGGGTTTAAAAAAAAAAAAAAAAAAAAACATCCAGCGGCCTCCACATAATTAAGAAGTGGCAGGTGGAAGGAAGCCATGTCGGCATTAGCGCTGGTGTGCAAGGTTACAGCCCCCTCCAGATGCTCCCATTTAATTGTCCCGTGCGCTAAGACTCATTCAAAGAGAGCGCGATCCGATTAAGGAGACAGATTAAACTTTCCCTGACCCACTCTGTCATCCACAGCCTCGTGCGGACGTCGCATGCCCAGCGAAGGTCCGTCGGGCGCCCAAAGGAACCCAAGGCGGTCTTGCATGTAGGCCGACACGTCGTAGGATGTTAGCTCACGCTGGTTTGTACAACAGGCTTTTCGGGAAAACACACCTTGGATTAAAAAGCTCAATTTTCTGTTAGCGAATGCTAATTTGTGCAAGGGACTTACCGTAGCATCTGTATTAAACAAACAAAAAAAAATATGCATCGTGAGTTCATGACAGATTTTGTGGGTCTTTCTGATGTGCGTAACTTGACCACCAGGGGGCAGGAAGATACAGGAAGTCAGTGCCATCCTTTTCCCCGCAAAGGATAAAGAATATACGCCTGGGAGGATTGTTATACTGTGTGTATCGCTAATTGTTTTGCGTTCGAATATCATCTGCAAGCTATTTATTTTGAAGGCAGATGTCAAATGATGCGTTTTGGGATCATTTTGGTGGAGCGGGGCCGAGCCCCGCCACATGGGACATTACCATAGCTGGAAAAATATGGCAATAATATCTTACCTCAGCTATCCGGGGGCCATATTAAACCCTTTTCACGCACCCTGTAACCTGATAGCATGATAAACTGTCCACTGTAGTAGCCGCTGTCCATCAAGGGGTTAATAGGGTTCCGGGCTTCAAAAAGACATATGTTGCTTGAAATTGCTTGGCCAACTGTATGTGCACAATTCCATGGATGCTCACTCGAGTCACAACACACACACACACACACACACACACACACACACACACACACACACACACACACATACGCATACATTCACTGTGTTGGGATGTTTGTAAAGCAACACGAAACGATAGCTGCTATTAGCGACTCCACCTTCACCCCCTGCCCCCCCCCCATTCCGTACCCCATCCTCCCCCCCTAAACCGCCTCCCGCATCCGTCGAGCAGGGAGAACAGCATCCCTGGCCCGAGCGTTTCGCGTTAATCCCGCGGGCCTGGCTGCCGGTTGGGCGGTGAGCGGCGTCGAAGTGGGTCATCACCAAAATGAGGCCATCCAGGGCTTGAACTGCGGCAGCCGAGCCAGCGGCGGCGAGCTCCCATCTGCCCCGAGCAGGGGGGGGAGAGGATGACAAACGCAGCTGGCTCGCGTTGCCGCTGGGGGAGGCTCGACGTTGCATCGCCGAACCTCCGAGAGACATATCAACTCTGCTTTTCGGAAGGTCCAGAAAATCGTGGCGGCGAGCTCCTTACAAAACGACGGCGTGACTTTCAGTTATACTTTGCGCTGTACTTTTAACAGAGCCTGTGACGATCATCTCGGGGGGATATGGACCACATGCTGCTTCACCGAGTCGACGGACGATGGCGTTTATCATCCGACCGCATGGGGCAGCCTGTTCTGATCAATGACAAAGACCAGATTCATTTTGAAGTATTTTGGAGGGTGTCGAATTTTACTAAACAGAAAAAGAAGGCAATCAGGCTTTGCCAATCGAGATCTATTGCACCGAAATCGATTTATACACCGAAATAAATATCGTATCGAAAGCAATGAGGCAAATAGATTCTAGTGACCGTAACTGCAGAGTGTCAACATTTAATTCAATGATTCTTTCATGCATCACTTCGTACCACACTTGGGGGAAAAACCACCGGCATAACAGGACAAGACAGTGCAGATTGTTTCCCTCTGCAGCCCCCGCCCCCACCCCCCCCATCTGCGATTGTACAGTCAGTCTCTCCACTTACGAGAGTGGAAAATTGTGTCTGTCTCCGAGATGTTTGCGCAAGGCCGAAGGGCAATTTAGCTAAAATGACTGAGTTGGAAATCCATTCCGGGAGAGCGCAAGCAGTACGCGCCCGCCGCCGTCGTGACGGCGCTTCTCCGTGAAGGGGTGTAATCTTGTGCCATGTAATGTGTCTACTGGCTGCAAAATGCACACCAAAAAAAAGATAAAAATAAGGTTGAAAATTAAGCTTGGGTGGTGTCCGCAAGCACTGGAGGTGAATGTCACATTCACCCCGGAGAGCCGGAAATGAAATTGTGAACGGTGTACCTCCAACAAGTAAAGGCGCGGTGATTGATGCAGCAGGATATTGAATGGCTCGCCGGCACGGAATTACATTATTGCCATTTCTCGCCCTCTTGTTCGCGAAGGCTCTTACACGCAAACGCGCGGAATTAACATCCATATCATCTCGGACGTTTTCATAACAAGCGCGGCGCGACGGGATCGTTGCTCAAGGTCATCCGGGCGCTACCTCGACTCGTGAATTTTTCAAGATATGAAAACAAGACGGGAGAGTCAAAAGCTCTGCGAACAATCGTTCGACATTTATACTCATGCCCACTTCGATCTCCGAAATTATCGTTCACGATTGCCCCGATAGTTTGAATTTCATGACCGCTAAATGGTTTCCTCTTTGAAGCTTGGTCGGCGCCTATTGAGAGGCCGTTCGGAAAATCCCCAAATATTGGCGCGACTATAAAATTTGCGGAGAGGTCCGCGTCCATTTCGTTGAAAATCTATCGCAATTTTCGGACATTGCGCGACATTAACCCTTTGAGGACTTGAACACATTGCATTATCCTCTAGAATGGGTTACTTCATGCACGGTATGTCTACTTCGGAGTACAAAAGCAAAAAAAAAAAGGGTTCATTGGTTTTCGGAGAGCCGCAAACAGTTGGCGGGGTTTATTGGCCCATTTCAAATCCCTCCTGCACTTTGTGCTTTCCTCGAGCGTCAGGGGAAAGAAAAAAAAATCAATTTGAGCTCCCTGACTCTATAGTCGTCCAACTTCCTTGGATCATCCGTCTTTTTTTTTTTTCTTTCTTTCGCACCGTGACATCAGCGCGTGGTCCGAAGCCGCCTGGATCACACGGCGTAAGGGAAGAGATTTGACTTCAAACGCCACGCACACAAGACAGAAAGTTCTGAGGTAGCGGATGATGCTCGGGTGTCAGCTTGGAGACAAGCGTTCCGTCAGTTCATGTGTTAGGTCATGTATGAACATGACTGATAAAAATCAATCGTGCAGCGGAAGACCTTACCGGATCACGTATCGGGATTTTGAAGTGGTAGGTAGACTTGGAAGGACTCAAGAGTTCTTGTCGTCGGACTATCGTGGTAAAAGTCAAGTCGAAGTCATGGATCGATGACGATATGATACCCAAACTTTTCTTTTTTTGTGCCATTGACCGGTTACATCCATTCATCCATCCACAAGGGTCGCGGGTGTGCCGGGGTCAATCCCAGCTGTCTTCGGGCAGTAGGTGAGGTACACCCTGAACTGATTGCCAGCCAAACAACCAATCGTACCTCGGGACAATGTTTTTGGAATGCGCTAGGACACCGGAGTACCCGGAGAAAACCCACGCAGGGACGGCGAGAACATGCAAACCCGGCGCGGGAAGGCCGGAGCCGGAATCGAACCTGGCACCTCTGCACTGTGAGGCCGACGTACTAACCGGTCGTCCATCGTGCCGCCTGGACCAGTTTCATGGCAAGACATATATTGCTGTACCAGTTTTAGATGCACATTAAAAAAAAAAAAAATACATTATCATAACCAAAATCTCTCTAAGAGCCAATGGGTGCTTGACTGTCGCAGTGACAGCCTTGAAAGGCTAATTATCGTTATCAGACGGTGCGATCTTCTCGTGTGTGCATGGCTGCGGGAGAAACAGGGTGGGGGTAAGGGGGGGCTGGATGTGGGCGCACGGGGCGACTGATATCCTCATGATCTCTGTTTGTGCAGTTCAAATCTCCCTGGACTCGCATAATATAGTTTTCACTAAGCCTGCCAGCTTCGCCGGAGATAATTAGAGTGGACACGCTGTAATGATGTCCAAAGAAAAGCACCAGCCATTAAATGAGAATCTGGCAATCAACATTTACTCTCTATGAAAAGTCAACGGCGTCCGAGCTCAAAACTGACTTTGGCAAAAGTGGCTGCAGTCCGGTGAAAATGGATAAAAATCCAAAAATGGATAAAAATCCAAAACCGAGAACCCCCACAAGCCCGACAAGTAAATCATCCGCACTGACAACGGGGCCTGAGACGCGAGTCGGGAGTTGTTTTCGGTAATGTGCTTTTGTCTACTTCCCTCATCAATAAGCTCAGACGTACGCTCTGAATCACCTTTTGTATACGAGCTAGCTCAATACTGTCCCTGCTGCGTGTCGTCTCCGGCGCCTACGCAACCCGTGAGTCAGTCAGGCGGCGGTATCTGAATCGGCCAGTCCGTTCTTCCGGCTTTTTCAATGCTGCGTTGCGAATGGATGTGAATCACTACCAATGGCCTGTATTTCAACTCACTGTTTTGTTTTTTTTTGTTTTCCCTCTGCAGGTTCCATCGCGAGATGCTCCTACATCAAGTACCACTACTCCTCGGGCACAATACCCAAAAACCTGTCCTACAACATCACCAAGACAATAAGGCAGGATGAGTGGCACTCCCTGCGTAAGTCTTTCCCGCTTCACCAACTCGGCTTTGGTCTCCCGGGGCGTTGCATTCACATGCTCCAAAGCGGAATCCGGTCAAATGGTTTCGTTTTGAATCAGTTAAGGCATAGTGCAAAACTAGCCTAGCCTAGCCTGCGTGAGCGATGAAACAGTTTTGAAGCCATTCATGCACAAATAATGGTAACCTGTATCCTGATAACCCGATAAGCTGTCCACTGGAGTAACCGCTGTCCCTCAAAGTGTTAAAATGAAAGGAAACCACACTTGGGGGGGGGGGGGCGGGGGGGGAGAAGACAGACAGCTGAGTCCGCCGAGGATTGCAGCAAAGAGAAGTTGCGCTTCTCAAGCCCTGGCACATGACAGCTCGTGACTAGTCAGACGGCAACAGGAAACAGTGACAGTATGAGGTCAGCGCGTGTTTCCACTAAAGGAAGCGGCTGAGCATGTCAGGTGTCCTCCAAAAACTGGACCCCACATACGGTATATCCCTCTGACCGCATTTGTTACCCATACTGATATAATCCTACCGCTGTTAGAAACTAGGCTCCGCCCCCCCCGCCCCCCTTCCCGTCACCCCCTGCCTCTTTGTGAGCTGATGAAATCAAAAGTCTAATGTAATGTGATTGTGGATCACGCTGGATGAAAACCGACGTCCTAAGTGTTCACTAATTCCACAAATGAATTTTGTAACGCAAACACACCGTAGATTGATTTGACGTTTTGGAAATATGACTTATGGGGACATGCGGTATAGAAAATAAATGCATAAACCCGTTTGTTGGATGGCTTTGACTCACGCGCATATAAGGACATTTTCATCTCCGGTATATCTTGGCCGGCTCCCGAAAACACATAGCTCATATTTGCGACAAGAAGGTCACCTCTGTGCAGTGGGAGATGTTTAATGTCCCTATTACTGCATCTATCCACGCGGGATATCAGCATGAGATAACACTCCCGTTCGTGAACCGATGGCCCGTCTCCGCAGCGCCAAAGACGGCAAATGTAAATAGCAAAAGGCCGGCCCGGGTACACAAATCTCCGTCTGATGATGGAGGATCTGCGCTCGCTACTTGAATGAAACCGGTTGAGATTCCGTATGGAACTGGTTTGGAGGAGAGGGGGTTTACACACCAGCAAATGGAACGGTCAATGTCAATTGGGGTGTCAATAAAACCTGGACCAGAATCAAATTCTAGTTCGTCATTGTTGCATGAGTACTGCTCCACCTGAACTAGGTCGCAGGAACAAGTTAGCGGAATAAATACGTGTTAGTTCAATTTCTCGTACATGTGAACACGAGTGTGGACGGTTTTCGGTCCTGAAGGTGATTACCGCATCATTGAACGACGGTTTTCCGATCATCCCCAAATATTACGGTATAACTCAACCTTAAGGAGCGGCGCTTTGGCCGTCTGAGTTAACTCCACTTTGAAGCCATTTGGTTAGCAGGTGGAGTGGAACGGTTTTTGCTGTTGAACTCCGGAGACGCAGCGGACCAAATCCACCCACGCAGCCTTTGGGCCTTGTATGGATTAAGTGAGACTGACAACCTGGTCTGGCTCTTCATGAAGTGTGTGAAATTGAACTAAGCCGCCGGCGACACTTGAAGATGAACATGATACTCATTTGCTTCTGTCAGTCCAAAAATAAAACGGATTCAAGGAGTCGGTGACGGCTAAATCACGGAAGCAAAATACTCATTTACCGACGACCGCCGAACATCAAAGCAACGGACCGCGACACAATATCCCGTCGACTGCCTCGATTGTCTGTCAGCGCGGGCATCACGTTTTTTTTTTAATGTGAAAGGTTTTCGCACAGCGCGGCTTAAGGATTTGCCGACTTCAAAAGGAACGCGAAAAGCTCACGCGGGCGACTGACGGCGTATAATCCGAAAGGTAGCGACGGCGGAGCTTGTGGCCACTCCCACTCGATTCCGCTCGTGTGAAGATGACAGCGGGTTTAACTCATTGAGAGGCATCGATTCATTGTGGCGCAGGTTCTCCGTCTTTCATGCCGCCAAAGCTGATAAAACTCGAAGCCCTTCATTGATTCCCCTCCCCGTTTTCAAATACTTTGCCGCGGCTTTTCTCGCTCTCGCTTGACTGGCAAAAGCGCTCCGAGGAAACGTTGCTTGTAGCAGGCCATTCGTAACATTTGAGGACTCGCGACTCGAATTTCTTTTGAGTCATTTCCGGTAAGCCGCTTTCGTTCGTGCCGCTTTGCTTCTGAATGTCGCCCCCCCCGTTGCGTCCATAAGCTTCGAGGTGTCGCTTTCGCGAGTGCGAAGCGCACCGAGTGAAAACAAAGCTGCCTCGCGCTCACCAGTCGAACAGGAGGCTCCGACAAAAATATCGTTCGACCCAAGGAGTGCCCGCTGCTTTAGCTACTCGAGAGTCGTTACGTAACCATACAACAGCTTGACTTACGTCTCCGCTTCAATAATGACTCACTGAGTCAGCAAAGGCCGCTGACGGCGCGTTCTCCTACGCATACCCATTGCATAGGTACCGCGCCATCCTACACGTCTTGATCTATTTCAATGACCGCGTTGTCAGTTTTACAACCTTAAAGCCCTCCGGCGTGGGTTTTTTTTAATGCATGAACCCTTTCAGTTACAACGGTTACTACAGTGGACATGTTATCATTATTAGTGCGCGAAAGCAACTTTTTGCCGTGTTCTTGGAGTCGGCCGTTCAGGTTTAGCGGCGCGCGTCCGGACTGCGAACGAATAGCGCTAGTGCGCGGCGACCTTGGGTCGTCCCCGTGTTCTATGCTGGCCGTTTTATTCCAAGCTAACTTGTGTGCGATACAATCAAAAACGTACATTTTCGACAATATGTCCTCTTTCAGCCCGGAGAAATAATTAGTCGTGCGCAGAGGAGCCTTGAAAGCGTCTTAACGGTGCGCTACGGCATATTACGCCGTTGCTATGCTATGCTCGAGGAAAATTTGCCAATTCTATTTGCACATCTTGTTGTTTTTGCACTTGACGAACACACGCCAAATTAGGATTACCCGACCAGCTCAGGGTGCGCAATGCCAACAGTGGAAATATCCTGCTTATTATAGACACGATGAAAACAAGTGCCGCACAAATGCGCGTGCAATTACCAGTTCTGGAATATTACCGCTTAAAAATATCCAAAAGCGACCTCACTTGAGCATCCGATCTGCCGTCAAATGCGACATCAAAGCAATTCTGCTCAACCTTCCGGCAATTAGGCTTCCGATAATTAGGACTGAGTTTGTTTCCATATTTAGACGGAGTGAACGGGCTTTTCGATGGGCGTGATCAACACCTAAAGACGGAATCTCCGGGATGCTAACCCTCGCCTTAACCCGATCGAGCAACGTTAACAGGGTGCAGAAACCATCCCAGGAAACACGTGTCTGGCATTCGTTGCACCCCCCTCCCCTCTTCCCCTGTTCTGTCGGGTTCTACGGATTAAGCCAAATCGGGAAATTGGTGGCCATTCATGTGAGAGCGCCCTCGGGCCCGGTGATTCATCAGCGCTCATCACTGTGTGGATGCGGACCATAGGGAAGAGCTCACAGAGTGCGCAGCCCACAGAGGCGAGGCAGGAAGTTGGTCAGCCACCGTGTTCTGACACAGGTTATCTATATTCACTCAATGTTTTTTTTTTTTTTTTTTGAAAGGCAAAGGCAGTTTCAGCACACAGATACAAAATAAAAACACTCACAGGGAGCATGGAAAAGATGTTAGCGTTTGGAAAACGGCCAGCGGTAGCTGGCAAATTGTTTCAAATTGAACCCAAGGAGCATGTAAAGGTAATTGGTGAATGTTTTTTTTCAATCCGAAACCTGCAATTTGAAATGCGACTCTCGGCCGCGGAACGGCATTGATGTTGTCCGCAAAGGAAACCTACCCTCCAATAAAAAAAAAAATGTAATGAATGTGAAAATCAGAACGCTTTCTTTTCAATAGCTGTGGATGTATTTACCGTATTTTCCGGATTATAACTCGCTCAGGAGTATAAATCATATTTATTTGATAAAATTCAACACCAAGAACAGACATGTCATCTTGAAAGGCAATTTTAAATAAAAATAAAATAGAGAATAACAGGCTGAAGATGTGTACGATATGCTAACGTTACATGACGCATAAACAACGAACTGTGAACGTGCCTGGTTTGTTCCCATAATATATTAGGACTTATTCAGATAACCAGAGCATAAAGAATAAGCTAAAAAGTCCAAATCAACTAAATCAAATGAAATTTTCATCCTTTGTGTCACTTTTAAACCACTGGGCCAACTCCGGAGGTAGAAGATGCGGCGCTTCCTCACTCTTACGTTAGCGTCTTTTTTTAGCGTTGATTTATCAAAACAGGCCTAGAGCACCACCTTGCGGTTTAATGTGACTATAACATGTGAAATGATTTTATAATGTGTTGATAATTTCACACATAAATCGCTCCAGATTATACAAAACGCACTGCCGGCCAAACTATGGAGGAAAAAACTGTGATTTATAATCCGGGAAAATACGGTATTCATCATTTGCTTTGAAAACGCTTCAAAAGATCGTGTGCGAGCGTGTCGCGGGTCCAATCAGGAGACAAACGGCCGTTCTTCTTCGAGGGTCACGGCGGGTCACATAAACACACATTGATTTCCTCGAAGCGCTCCGTTTCCATTTGCGTGTGTAAAATTAGACGCCTGCTGCACAATTGCGTTCTGGCGTCCTTTCCGCCTCACTGCGTCAATGCAAAAGGGACTATACCGAGATATTTTTTTTCAGTATCGACAAAGATGCAACTTTCATCGATCTAATGTCTAACTAGCTTCAGTTTGAATTGATCTCATCACAATAATTATCTCTGTTTTCACTGAGAGGCCCGCAACTGTATGTTCCATTACCTGGTCAGCCATGACGAGAAGTGCACAGCGTGGGCTGCCAGGTTAGCTCACAGTGTTGACTATCATGCCGAACTGACTCACCATCGCATCGTGCCGGCTCGCGTTGGG